ACACACACACACACACACACACACACACACACACACACACACACACAGGTGCTTTTTTGTCGATCTACCACATAATTATAGAGAAAATCTATATGAAGCAGTTCCGAGGCCATTCCACCTGTTCGGTTGTTCCTGTTCAACAGGCGAGGAGACGACGACAGGATGAGTGAAATACTTCATTAATGTTCAACATAATAAAATCATAAAAAAAGACTCATTTAAAGGCTCATTTTAAGATTTATGTCACGAGAAAAGGACGTGGCAGCAGAAACAAACACATCGACTGAAGATATTCACACAAACCAAGTGCTATGATACAGAAATCCACTCTGAAACACATTTTTCTTCTATGTTTTCACACGTATCTCCTCTCTCCTGTGTACGGTGCATTGCGGCGCCTCTGTGTGGAGCCCTGAAGGAACGCAGGGGCGTACACTGAATGCTCTAATGCGTTGACCTTTGACCCGAGCTGCTCAGACTGTCGCAGCAAATCATCCTCGATCGCTAAATAATCGATTAAAGCTCCGGCTGGGTGGAAATGAGGGGACACACATTTTTTTACTTAATTTCTCTTACAAAAATAAAGTGATTTCATTATTTGTAGAAACTGGTTTCACGTTCAAATCCTTGACTGACATCTCTGAGGGAACGTGTCTGTGGAAGCAGAGGGAGAGGAGACGACTTTGAGTTACAACATATTACAACATATCCTGTCAGTCGTTGTCTCTGTCTCTGGGTTTGAGCGAGGGGCATCCCGAACACCCGCTCAGGCCTTTCTCCTTCGCGTTGTAGTCGAAGTGAGGCAGAACCACGCTGTCGTCGGCTTCGCTCTTCGCCGCCGTGCCGGTGGCTTCGCTCGCGGCTCGTTCCTCCTCCACAGACATGATGTTCTTCACCAAACACGTGATGGCGGCGTCGATGTTGGTGTTGTCCTGAAGAGAGGTGGGAGGTGAGAGCGTTAGCGAGGGAGGATGGAGGTGGAGAGAGAGAGACAGACAGAAACAGACACAGAACGAGCTCGCTGGTCGTACCTTAGCAGAGGTTTCAAACCAGCCGACGAATCCGTACTCTCTGGAAAAGTTCTCCAGTTTGGGCAGTTTGGGGCAGAGGCCGTGGCGACGCTGGTCACTCTTGTTGGCCAATAGAACGGCTGGAACCGGCCGCCCGTTGCCCATAGCAACCTGACAACACCAGGCAGACGATGGATGAGACACTGAAAAATCACTGACTGACCCTGAGTTTGATCTGAGCGCAGAGGACGGAAACTCTTACTAATACCAGAGATGTTGAAGTTTATATAATGACGTCAAATTGCCAGTAGGGGGTGCTGCGGCCCCCTCAGCACCCGTACGTCCTACGTTTAGTTCCCTCAAAACAAATCTTGGGACAAAAGGTTCCATGTACTTAAATTAAACATGCTTCTTGACTCCTTTCTACCTCATTCCTTCCCTCTGCCCTCCTGCCTTCTCTCCTCCCTTCTCTCCTCCCTTCTTTCCTCCGTCTCCTCTCTTTTCGTAGTTGACCTTTGCTCCCACCTTCGAGTCCAGGTCTCCTTTCCACTTGAGGACGGCCTGAAACGTGGACAGTCTGGTCATGTCGAAGACGACGAGCGCCCCCACGGCCTCTCGGTAGTACACGCGGGTCATGTTGCCGTAGCGTTCCTGCCCTGTCGGAGAGGACGAGCGGTTATTCTGGGAGGTTGAGTTGATTAACAGCCACAGATGTGATCAGAGGCAAGTGACTTCAACCAGTATTCACCAAAACTCAGCAGAGGTCATCTGAGTCTTTGTGAAACTCGATTAGTTACCTGAAAACTAAACTTGATTATAGAGCTAAACAGAGACGGGGGGGGGGGGGGGGGGTGAAGGAGAAGGCAATTAGGACTGGGGAAAGGAACAGGTTTAAAGAGTCCAAGTACAAGTTTAACAGTGCGGTGAGAGATGCTAAATGACAG